TGGATCCCTCAAGTGGTTAAAAAAGTCCCAAGACTCCAAGGTTATCTATCCTCCATTTCAGGCAGGAATGCCCAGTACCTCCCTCAGGGTGGGGGGTTCCTCAGTGGGCATGAGGACAAAAACACCCTCCTGTCTCACAGACCTCTTAACACCCAGTTTGTAGCCTGATGAGTCAGGGCTGCTCTGAGCAGAGGGTGCAAATAGTCTATTGAGAACAGTTTCTGGGCAATGGCATGGAAGGCTCTAGAACACCCAGTTTTGGGTTACACCCCTCCAGTGATGAACTGGGCCCAGCTGTTCTAACTAGGACACCTGGTTAATGGCTGTGTTTTTATTCCCAAAGGACCATCCTGAAGGACAGCCGCTTTTACCGCTACCTGCACACGGCCGTGGTGGTGAGCGGGACCATGCTGGTGTTTGGGGGGAACACCCACAACGACACCTCCATGAGCCACGGGGCCAAGTGCTTCTCCTCGGATTTCATGGCCTATGACATCGGTGAGTTCTCCCGGAAATCCCAAGGGAGGCCCAAATTCTCGGCTATCCCGAGGGAGCGGCCGATTTCCACGCTGGGTGTGCTGTCCCGAGCGCTGCTGGGCAGAGGGGTGTGGGATCGGGAGAAGGAGGCTCCTTAGGTTGCTCCAGAATTCCAAGGAGATGAGGTGGTGCCGTGATTTCCAGCAGCAGGTGCTCTGTCAGCAGTTTATGCACAACCCTGGGCATGAAAAATTAGGGTTTTGTTATAGAATCTTAAAAATCAAGGGATCGTTAAGGTTGGAAAACACCCTTAAGATCATCAGGTCCAACCATCAACCCAGCACCACCCTCTTCACCACTAAACCATGTCCCTAAGTGCCACATCCACGTTTTTTTGAACACTTCCAGGCATGGTGACTCCGCTTCTTCCTTGGGCAGCTTGTTCCAGTGCTTTGCAACCCTTTCCTTGAAAAAAATGCATCCTAAAATCCAATCTAAACCTCCCCTGGCACAACTTGAGGCTGTTCCCTCAAGTCCTGCTGTCTCAGCCATAAGTTCTCCTGATGTTTTGAGAGTGGTTTTAATTTGTTATTTGATAAAAAAGGCAGTTTTTTAGGACAGGTCCAAGCACTGGAAGCTGCTGAAACTCAGCCTGTGCAGTGCACACTCTGGTTTTAATTGCTTTATTCAGCAATAAAGCAGAGTAGTAGGTTGGCTTTGCTGAATTTGAGTAACCAGGAGAGGGCAGCATTTGTTTGTGAATTTGGAGTCCAGAGATGGTGAATTTGAGAAGGAGAAGAAAAGGAGAGATGGAATTATCTGAAAGAAGAGATGGAATTATCTGAAAGGAGGTGCATACACACCCAGACAGCTCACAGTGGGGAAAACCACCATTCTCTGTTCTATCACATCTGTCTGCTGCTCTCAGAATTCCCTGAATTTGGGTTCTCAGGATGGATCCCCTGAAATAATCACACAAATCTGAAATCTTGCAGTGAGTGTCCACTGAGATCTCCCTCCTGGTTTGGGAGAGGAAAACACAGCTGAACCAATTAGTTGGATCATCAGGGTTTGACATCCTTGTGCCAGTTTTCCCCTTTGTTACAGGGATCAGTCCTTTCTGCTTCCTGTGATTTCCAGTTGTGTTCCTGTGGAATTTTTGTAGCTGGCTTTATTTTGATGTGTTGTTTTTTTTTTTTTTAACTCGAGGAATTAAAATGAGATATTCCACCAGGTTGGACAAGCCTTGGAGCAACCTGGGCTAGTGGAAGGTGTCCCTGCCCATGGCAGGGAGTGGAACAAGATGATCTTTGAGGTCCCTTCCAACCCAAACCATTCCATGGTTCTGTGACAGTCATCAACAGTTTAGTTTTTTTAAACTTTGATTGCAAGAGTGATTGATTTTCCTTGCTGCATTCTGCTGTCTGCCCTGACCTGTTGAACTGTCTGTTAGATTTAAAGCCCAATTTGCATTAATTGGACAAAATGTGCCAACAATGATGTTCATTTTGACTCATTTCAGTCACCAGGCAGGTTCCTGGTATGAAATTGCCTTACATGAAATAAGGGGTGCAGTTAATTTTCAGTTTTACCCTGAGATTTAGAGCTTGCATTGATTTAGTTTCACCTGATGGGGTGAGACTTGTTTTGGTGTTCTTGGGTCCCCTCATTCCTTCGGGAAGAGACTCTCAGCCCAAAAAGAGCAGCTTTTTTTCAGATAACAGACCACTTTCTCCGTTCTCCTCATGGCAGGACCCCTTGTGCCTGATTTTCCTTATCCCATTTGCCTGGGAGCAGTGGCAGGAATCCCTCAGGGGGGTGGCTGATCATTGGTGTCACAGCAGAAACACCTCCTTGGTGGTTCTTCCTGCAGGATCTCTGCAGTAATTAATTATCTTGTTCATATTCATGTTGGTCTCCATGGAAATAAGTCCATATAAACCCCCTGTTATCTGTCCCTTGATATTCCCAAGGCACAAGTTACCCAGAGAGAACCAAGCAAGGTCAGTTTTCTCCAAGAGGCTTTAATAATTGTCTTTATTCCCCACTTCTAGAATAATCTGGCTGGCTGGTTTGCTCATCTTTTACATCTTGTTGATTAATGATCCTGATTGATTCGTGATTAGGTTAATCAGTGATCATACTGATGGTTGGAAGACTGCAGAACCCTGGAATTAAACCCAGTCTAAACCAAAGGCTTCAAACCCAGCTCTTCTCAACCTTTGCCATTAAAACTCATTTTGGGATTAACCAATTTTATTGACATCAGCAGATTTTTCCTGGTTTTCCATCCTCAAATTTCCAAGTAAGGAGAGCACATGCACTGAGTGTTCTGAGGACAGAAAATCTCTTTTTTTTTGGGGAGAAGGGAATGCCAACAGGTGTCAGAAATGTGTACTGGCCTTTAGCAACTGGGGAGATCTGAGAATTCATTGATGCTTCTCATCCTTTATCCTCCACTTGAGCAGGCTGGGGTGTATTCAATCCAAACTGTCCAGGTGTATTCTATCCAAACTGTCCAGGTAATGCCTGGTTTGGGAAGGTTTCAGGATAACAATCCAGCTCTCTGTGTGCTTGTGCAATTCCTGTTGAATCTCACAGTATTTTCCCTTTTGGAAAAGGGCAAATTAACTCTTCCCATCCCCAAAACTGGTCTTTTTGGCCTTTGGCAAAGAATATCTTGCTCTGCAACAGCTTTAAGTGGAAAAAATGCCTCATTTAATCCTCTCCTATTCATGTAAAGCTCTACTTGTACAAAGATCTTTTCTCGCCACGGAAGGAAAATTAAAACTCTTCTATTTACCCCATCAAAAATTCAGATTTAGATCACAAACATAGGAAGAGGCTGCCCGTTTTCACAGCAGATGTGTTCTGTTTGAACAGTACATTTAATAAATCCTGGGCATTGTTAAGTCTTAGGCTTGGCTTAACTCCTAAGTCAGGAAGGAGAAGATTCTTTTGTAGTCTCAGAATTACTCATTTTTTCCAATACTTACTCTTGAGTTAAAGATGGGAAAGAAGCTTAGAAAGCAAAACATTCCAGGCCTTCTGTTAATCTAGAAAAATATGTTTCTTGGCCTGACATGACACGCAACTTGATGGCTAAAAAATTGCAAATTGCTGTCCAATTTTGCTGAAGTCTCCTGCTAAAAAATTGGAATGGTGCATTCTTGGCTTGGGAATGATGCTGGGATAGGTTAAATTCTTTGGAAATCGAGCAGATGACATGTAAAAATAAACTTTAAAAATCACACTTCATCGAAGGATTAAATCCAACAGGGCACTTTGTCTTTCATTTCTCAGCACTTTTGGACAAAATTGCCGTGGATCTGTTGTTTTATCCAACAGTTCTCCGATTTAATTAGGTAAAAAATGAATAAGTTTGTTCTTCTTTGCCCTCATGGACTGGTTTGGTTTGTGGGCTTTTTTTTTTTTTTTCTCCCAGAGGTTCAGTCCATGGCACAACAGTTTTATCTTGTACTAAAGAATCTTGGAGTATTTGAGGGCTCTGTGGATCTTTACAGCAGATTGACTTTTCTCTCTTAATTGCTTAAATTGCATCCAAGTGCCCCTGGGACGTTGGTCCCCAAGGTGATCCCATTCCCTTTGTGGAGTCGAAGTGACATAATTTGGACTGACTTTCCCTGCCTTTGTTCCTTTGCTCGGTGGGTTGGATGTTTCTTAGCTTGTTTTTCCTTTTTTTTTTTTTTTTAATGCACTGCCCAAAGGAAAAAAATTACCTGAGAAACCGAGTGAAAAAAAAAAACAAACGAGGCAGAACTTACAAATGTTATGCTAATAGAAAAAAAAAGATGGAATAATCTCACGTTGTGTTAGAAGAAGAAAAACAGCCACGAATCCCTAAGCTGTGATGAGCGAGAAATGTTTTTAAAAGCATGGATATCTGCCCTCTAGGAATATAATTGCAATGGAAATAAAAAGGAAGATAAGCCTCTGTTCTCAGTGATGCTGGTTCGGGGCAAAACTGCAAATAATTCACGTGTAAACAGATAAAAACCGAACTTGTTACACGGGGAAAAATTCCACTGGTAAAGGAGGGAAGCAGCTTCCTCTTGTCCTGTTCCCTGGGATAAGAGACCAGGAAAAAGAGACCAAGCCCCTCTTGGCTCCCCCCTCCTGTCAGGGAGTTGCAGAGCCAGAAGGTCCCCCCTGAGTCTCCTTTTCTCCAGGCTGAGCCCCCCCCCCAGCTCCCTCAGCTGTTCCTGCTGCTCCAGCCCCTTCCCCAGCTCTGTTCCCTTCCCTGGATGTGCTCCAACCCCTCAGTGTCTTTGTTGGAAGATCCCAGGTACTTTGGGGATCTTTGGGAAGGACTGTGCTGTGTAATTGTCCTGTTCATTATCCCGGGAATGTTTCTGACATGAATGTTTTCCATCCCAGCGTGCGATCGATGGTCGGTCCTTCCCCGCCCGGGGCTCCACCACGACGTGAACAGGTTTGGACACTCGGCTGTGCTGTACAACAGGTAAGGACAGAGACATTCCACACCTCCATAAACACCCCCCACGGGGAGGGCAGTGGTGCTGAGACCAGAGGGGTGAGGATCTGGCACAAACCTCCTTGCCCAGAGAAGCTGTGGCTGCCCCTGGATCCCTGGAAGTGTCCAAGGCCAGGTTGGACGGGGCTTGGAGCAACCTGGGCTGGTGGAAGGTGTCCCTGCCCGTGGCAGAGGGTGGGACTGGAGGGTCTTTGAGCTCCCTTCCAACCCAAACCACCCTGTGATTCTCTGAACCTCTGAAAGTTCTCAGCTCTTTACTTTTGTAGTGTCTTCAGTGTCCCCCCGTTCCCATCAGCCCTTCAGTGGACTAAACTGCCTCAACTCACTAAACTGTCTCAGCTCACTTCCTTCTTTCAATATCTTGATTTTTTCTTCATACTTCTATTCCTTTTTCCTGCTTTTATGTATATTCCTATTCCCTCTTTATTTCTGTTTCTTCCTTATTCCATAATTGCTCCTTCCAATTCATTTCACATTTCTTACTTAGGAGTTGTCAGTGCATCCTTCTCCAAACCTTCCTTTGCCTCGTGGTATCTCTGTCCATGTTTCAGTTTACACACCTTTATCCTGTGGGGCTCCTCTTTCCCAGCCATGTGATGTCCAATATTTAGGGAAAATCCTAGGTGAGATTCCAGCTGTTAAGCTTTACCCACTGTAGTGATATCCCTGCTTTCAGGTGAACAGCTATTGCTCTATTTATGCCCGTGGAACCAACTGTGAGAAATTTTATTTCATAGGAGTCCTCAAGTAGGATAAAAGTCATATTCAAAAATACTCATTATTGAACCAAAACTTGCCTTGATCCTTCTCCACTGTCTTTTTACCTGTGCCTACAAACTTGGATTCACAGGGAATTTTTGAGTGGCATTTTTACGTAACTAATAAAACTTGATGTTTTACCTGAGACAGTGGTGATCCTAAAGAAGGTTTAAAAACCTCACCCCTTCTCCTACAAAGTATTCTGTTATTTTGGGGTTTGTTTGGTGTTTTTTTTTAGCTGACACAATGACTCTGCTCAGTTGGTACCAGCCACGAAAACTGGTTTTGTGCCAGCGGAGCAGCCACAGCGAAGCACCAAAAGGTTTTGTCCCAGTTCCTGAACTCTGCTTTAATGCTGTGATACCATCTCCCAGATTTTTAGCCTTCGTCCCTCTCTTGCCACTGCAAATTACAGGAAAGATCCCAAATTTTGGGTCTCATCGGGTCGGTCAGGTGCCTCCCAGAGTTTTGGCTGGAGGGGAAGGTCAGTCCGTGACCTTGGATGGGTTTGAGTCTGTTGAGATTCTGTGGCTTCTCTGAAACAGTGAAATTGGACTGACCTTTTCTTTAGTGCCTCCCTTAACCAAGAGCTATTTATTTGGATTTATGCACTCTGGGGTGTAGTAAAACACCTCCCTCAGACCTTAAATCCCGTTTACCCGGAGCCGGCGCGCGAGCCGGAAAACACCCGCGAGTCCTTCTCTCTCCGCTTCCATGTTCTCCAGCACCATGTACGTCTTTGGAGGCTTCAACAGCCTCCTGCTGAGTGACATCCTGAAGTTCACCCCCGAGAGGTGTGAGGCTTTTGCCAACGAGTCGTCCTGCCTGCGGGCAGGGCCCGGGGTCAGGTGTGTGTGGGCTCCCAACCCTCCCCGCTGCATCCCGTGGGAAAACGCCACCCTGGAGCAGCAGCAGAAGGTCTTTGAAGACTGTCCTCCCAAGCCAGGTAGGTGCCACATTCCTTCCGTCCCCCTTTCCCAAGTGTCTGGAGGGTCTTTTTCCCCTTTCCGAGTCCTGCCATGTTGTTGGTTGTGTGCCATTATGAGGTCGAGTTGTGGTTGTGCTTCCGTGTGTGCCCGGCAGTCCTTCCTCTGCCCAGGTGTCCTGGAGGTGTTTCCATGTCTCATTCCTGAAGCTGTTCATGAGATCTTTTTCCTGTCTTGCTGCTTGGACTTACTTTTTCCATCATCAGCCAGGAATCAAGCCTGGACCATCACTGTAGATATTTGCTCCAAGAATTGACCTTTGGAGAACCAGCAATTCCCTGATCAGCTGGGAATTCCAGACCCGTCCCTGGGTCTGGATCTGGTGGAGTTATCCTGTGCTCTTCAAGAGAGGCAGCAGGAATAACTTCAGGAGCAACTTCAGGAAAAAATTACTTTATTTTTTGGCAGGGGGGTTGAAACCAAATGATCTTTAAGGTCCCTTCCAACCCAAACCCTTCTGGGATTCTGTGTACAGGGACAAAAGGAATGAATGTTTTCAGGTCTGATTCCCGTGTTTTCCCTCAAGATAATTCATTGAATTCATTGAATTATCCAGCCCTTGATTCTGTAATAGATTGTCATCCTTTAATTATTTAATAGAAACTGATGTGAGGGGACATGGCTTTGCTGGGCTCTCAATGTACAATAGATTTTCACGAACCACAGGCAAGAAATGATTGGAAAGATGAGTGAAAAGTTCAAGCTTGGCATGGAAATGCTCTGCTCGAAGGCCAGGCTTGCAGGAAGACGGTGGGAAATAATCACTGTCCTCATGGAATGTCTGAACGTCCATGTCTTCGTTCGTGTCTTCCTGCATTTTCTGGCCGTGTGTTTTAGGGCTCCTTGGACGCTAAAAATGCCAATAAATGCAATTTTCCACCAGTCCAATGCCTTGGAAGTCCCTGATTTTAGTTGCTGACGGCAAATCCGCCGCCGTTTGGTTGTCTCTTTGGCTGTAAATAACCAGGTTTTGTTTCTTTGCCTGTAAATAACCAGGTTTTGTTTCTTTGGCTGTAAATAACCAAGTTCTCAGAGCTCTGTCGGGAAATGCCTGTTTTTGGTCATGCAGGTTTTTTTCTTTACTAGTTGTAGACAATGAAAAATGTGATCAGATTACAGACTGCTACAGCTGTACAGCCAACACCAACAGCTGTCAGTGGTGCTCTGACCAGTGCATCCCAGCACACAACAACTGCACAGAGGAGCAGGTAATGGAATCTGAATATTCCTTGCTTTTAACTTACCCCGTGGAATAGCAAATGCCCCCATGTTTTTGTCTATCAGTATTATAATCCCCGTTTTCTTATTCCTTAGCTCTAAAGTGCTACGTGCTTGGATTTCTTAAGTTGATCCAAGGGTTTTTCGTGGGATTTTCCAGTGGATTTAGGAGGGCTGTGGGCATAGGGAGAGGCAGAGGTGTGAATCACAATGATGTGATTATTCATTACTCATATTTTGGGTTTGATACCAACAGAGCTTCCCCTAAAAAATATCAAATTAACCCTCTTTTGTAGAAACTCTAGTGAGGAAAACCTGTCAGGTGGTGGCTTGGGGGAATATCTGGGATACCCAGGCATGCAGCTTTTGGGTACATAAATATCCAAAATATATCTATAAATGGCTTTATAGGGCTGGACTGGGATGTTCAGTGTTGCAGTCACAGCTGTTAAATCCCCCATTGGTTGGATATGGGAAAAAGCCTCCCCTGTGCTGTTTCTTTTTAGGTTCCTATTACTCTCTATGACAATTGTCCCAAGGATAATCCTGCTTATTACTGTAACAAAAAGACAAGCTGTAAAAGCTGTGCCATGGATCAAAACTGCCAGTGGGAGCCCAGGAATCAGGAGTGCATTGCTTTGCCAGGTAGGTGCTGGTTATAGTCAGGTAAGAAAAAAAAAAATCCCAAATTCAAGTTTTTGAGGTTTGTTTTTTTTTTTTGTTCGTTTTTATCTTTTTCACCCCCCAAATCTATAATTTCTAGTGCTAGGCTGGAGTAAATAATGTTGTTTAATCATACCAGCTCTGGCATGAAACTTAATTTCTGATAAATCCATCAAATCTGCTGGAATATTTTTTCAGTCCCAATTGTCTGAAGAGGGCTGTGATCATGTGTGTAATTATTAGGCTGTATTTCATCTCTCCCTTTCCATTTGATAAAAGCTGTTGATAATAGGCTTCTGCAAGATATTAGAGTTAATAATGCATGCTATTTAATTTGGGGAACTAAATTGGTGCAAAAGCATAATGGCACATACTGGACAAATTAGGCAAGTAACACCTGAAGTGTTTAAGGAAAATTCTCCTGTTCAAGTGTTTCCAGTGGAGCTCACAGGAGCTGCTTATTAGTCCCCTTGGAGTAACTTTTTTTTAATCCCAATGACTGGGGGGAAAAAAATACAGGATCTTCAGTGATTAACATTTGAAGGTAATAAAATATAGAGAAAGGGGGGAAAAAAACCCCACCAGACAGGACATTTTAATGGGCATGGAAAACCTTCCCCCAGGAACTCTTGATAAGCTTGGACGTGTCCAGGTCTGGTTTTGCCAGTCTGGAAGAGTTAAAAATCGAGGAGACTTTGGATCAGAGCCATGAGAGTGAGAAAAAAACATCTTTTAATGAGGTAGATCAAGAGCTTGGTGTGTTTAATTTGATGTAGAAAAGGGGGTGACTTGGGGATGGGTGCAAAAAGCCCATCTGAAAAACTGACACTCGAGAGCTTTTCAATCTGTTAAGTCTAAATTCCCACTGGAAATGCCCCCCAGGGTTTTTTTTGTACGGGGAAATAACGAACCGCGGAGCGTAAGGAATTCTTCGGGAGTGGGATTGTGCTCGAGATGAGCCAGGGATTAATCCTGGAAGTTCATGCCTGGGACAGGAGCACAACAACCCTTTCCTGCCTTTAAAAAGGTCCCCTGGAAACTGTGGGTGATTAAGTGGTTTTAAGCCATCAGCAAAATACTAGTTTGGTTTATTTTCCTCTTTCTCCTACAATGATTTTACTCTTCAACATTGTAATAAATGCTTTGATTACATACTGCAAGGTAACTAAATGCTGATGTCAGACTTCAGCTGCCCTAAACAGCTTTTCTTCTCCAGTATTAGGATTTAACAGGGGAATATTTCTGGATAATAATAAGGGAATACACTGGATATCCCACTAATTAAATGTAGAGTAAATTCCTAAAAACCTGTGGCAACCCTTCCCTAAGAGTGTTGAAACCCTTCTGTTGGGGAGGAAGGTCAATGCTCCTCACTGGTTCTGGGCACACCAGTAAGTCAGACTGGTTTGGGATAGGGCTGTAGGTTTTATTTTAGTAGAAGGGTTCATGGAATCATTAAAATTGGAAAATACCTCCAAGATCATCATCAACCTTTGACTGAATCCCACCATCCCACCAAACCACAACATGAAGGGACACGTCCACTCTGTTTTCTGGACACTTCCAGGGATGGGGACTCCCAACACTGCCCTGGGCAGCTGTGCCAGAGCTTGGCAACATTTTTAGGGAAGAAATTTTTCCTGATATCCAACCTCAACCTCCCCTGGCCCAGCTGGAGGCCGTTCCCTCTCCTCCTGTCCCTTGTTCCCTGGGAGCAGAGCCCAACCCGCACCCCCCGGCTCCCCCCTCCTGTCAGGGAGTTGCAGAGCCAGAAGGTCCCCCCTGAGCCTCCTTTTCTCCAGGATGAGCCCCCTCAGCTCCAGCTGAGCCCCCCCAACAGCACAAGGACGTGGAGCTGCTGGAGAGAATCCAGAGGAGGCCCCGGAGCTGCTGCCAGGGCTGGAGCCCCTCTGCTCTGGAACCAGGCTGGGAGAGCTGGGGGGGTTCCCCTGGAGAAGAGAAGGCTCCAGGGAGAGCTGAGAG